CGATATGCTAAGGCTTACGTAGTATGTTTTGTGTCTGACAAATCGTACAGATAGCACATGACCCATCAAAACTAGACAAGTCATCAAAAGAGACACGCATTGATATTTGGTGAAAATTAATTTAAGAAATTATCTTTATTAATTCTTAAATTAATTTTAATTTAAATCAAACATATCCACTTATTTATATTAACAAATGAAATGCCAAATCGGGAAAGATTGGTCAAATCAAGGATGGCCAAATTAAGGATGAAATGTAATTCATTTATTTGATGAAAATAAATATCATTTGATTAAATTCAAGATTATTTGATGAAATCAAATCAAGTTTGGGTTCTTTTGTCAATTAATCAAGTCTAAATTAAAGACTAAATCCAACCTCAATCAAGCTTTAGAGAGCCCATAAATACGAGGCTCCAAGACCAAGAAAGATCCTCACTCTCAGACGCTCAAACTCCCGAACACTTCATACACACTCAGAAGACTCAAAAAGCTCATTGCATTCTTCACCACGCCTCGAGCCAAACTCTTGCAACGTTCGTTGGTTCGAGAACAAGTCACTACGACTCTCGGATCAACCACCCTAAGCATACACTTCGCAACTCTAGAAATCAAATTAGAGGATTAATATTTTGTAATAAAAAATTGTAACCCTAATTCTTCATTAATACATTATTTTGTACACTTGTTCTTGTTTCGATGTTTGCAGGAATTTCATGTTACATTTTCCCCTTAGAATTAGTTCCCAACAGTCCCTCATCAGAAGTTACTATTATAATGTGGCCAATGGCAGAATGAAGACTCATATGAATTTTTCTTCCGTTCGCTTCCTCGCGGGATGATGCAACTCATATGTTTTTCAATTAAAATAACATATCATTTAGTTTCTATATTATTTTATAAATATTATACTTCTGCACAACATTCATTTAAACTTTTTATGTATACACAAAATACATTTACAACGATGTTTTCCAATAGACATTGATAATTAGAATATTCAATGCTTATTGCATATGAATCAACAAGTCAAGCTCATGCTAAGTGAATTTCCATATAAATTAAGGACTAGTTAGGTATTATAATACATTTTAAACAAAAATTGTTTTTGTTTTACTATGAGAATAAACAATTGTAAAATAAAGTTGTTGAGTGTTTGTAAAAGTGTTTTAACAAAGGCAGAATGTCGAAGTGTTTGATAAACTTTTATATAAATTGTAGTGAATATGTTAAATTGTAGTATCCCACATCGCCCGTGAGGGCGTGGTCTTTGGGCCTTATATATCCATACCCAGAGCTTTAACTTCAGAGAGGCCTTTTGTGGACTACGGTCCACAAGAACAAAACTGTGCGGTAGCTGGGTGGCTGCGACATAGTCCAGGCCCAGAATGCCAAAGCGGACAATATCCGAGAGGTTGGAGTCTGGGATGTGACAATTTGGTATCAGAGCCTAACCCTGGTCGCGTGTGTGCCGACGAGGACGTCGGGCCCCTAAGGGGGGTGGATTATGACATCCCACATCGCCCAGGGGGGTGATCCTTAAATGTATATTCCCATCCCTACCTAGCACGAGGCCTATATTGTAGTATCCCACATCGCCCGTGAGGGCGTGGTCTTTGGGCCTTATATATCCATGCCCAGAGCTTTAACTTCAGAGAGGCCTTTTGTGGACTACGGTCCACAAGAACAAAACCGTGCGGTAGCTGGGTGGCTGCGACATAGTCCAGGCCCAGAATGCCAAAGCGGACAATATCCGAGAGGTTGGAGTCTGGGATGTGACAATTTGGTATCAGAGCCAGACTCACGGTCGTGGTGTGCCGACGAGGACGTCGAACTCCCTAAGGGGGGTGGATTGTAGTATCCCACATCGCCCGTGAGGGCGTGGTCTTTGGGCCTTATATATCCATGCCCAGAGCTTTAACTTCAGAGAGGCCTTTTGTGGACTACGGTCCACAAGAACAAAACCGTGCGGTAGCTGGGTGGCTGCGACATAGTCCAGGCCCAGAATGCCAAAGCGGACAATATCCGAGAGGTTGGAGTCTGGGATGTGACAATTTCCAAAGACCACGCCCTCACGGGCGATGTGGGATACTACAATCCACCCCCCTTAGGGAGTCCGACGTCCTCGTCGGCACACCACGACCGTGAGTCTGGCTCTGATACCAAATTGTCACATCCCAGACTCCAACCTCTCGGATATTGTCCGCTTTGGCATTCTGGGCCTGGACTATGTCGCAGCCACCCAGCTACCGCACGGTTTTGTTCTTGTGGACCGTAGTCCACAAAAGGCCTCTCTGAAGTTAAAGCTCTGGGCATGGATATATAAGGCCCAAAGACCACGCCCTCACGGGCGATGTGGGATACTACAATATAGGCCTCGTGCTAGGTAGGGATGGGAATATACATTTAAGGATCACCCCCCTGGGCGATGTGGGATGTCATAATGTGGCATCCCACATCGCCCGTGAGGGCGTGGTCTTTGGGCCTTATATATCCATGCCTGGTGCTTCAACTTTGAAGAGGCCTTTTGTGGTGGGAGATGTGGTCTGCGGACTAACACTCGGCCACAAGAACAAAACCGTGCGGTAGCTCTGCTGCGACATAGTCCAGAGGGAATGCCAAAGCGGACAATATCTTCAAGGTGGGAGACCGGGATGTGACAATTTGGTATCAGAGCCAGACTCACGGTCGTGTTGTGCCGACGAGGACGTCGGGCCCCTAAGGGGGGTGGATTGTGGCATCCCACATTGCCCGTGAGGGCGTGGTCTTTGGGCCTTATATATCCATGCCTGGTGCTTCAACTTTGAAGAGGCCTTTTGTGGTGGGAGATGTGGTCTGCGGACTAACACTCGGCCACAAGAACAAAACCGTGCGGTAGCTCTGCTGCGACATAGTCCAGAGGGAATGCCAAAGCGGACAATATCTTCAAGGTGGGAGACCGGGATGTGACATAAATGACTAAAAACAATACGGTATTTAATGTGATATAATCATTGTCAAAGACATAATGTATTGGTAAAGATTGTAATCTTGTAAAATATGTGGGGGGTGTACTTGTGTTGACCCTAAAAAAACTACTAAACCCACGTGGCTCGCATGATGAATAGCTAATAAGTGTCATTCGGTTGAATGCAGGGCGTGCCAACTCGTTGGTTAAGCTCGGTCGGGGAGTGAATGAATGTTGATGTGGCGTTAGGTGCATTGATGACTTCTAAATCTTGCGACTGCGGCTGAGGAAGGAACACGTCTCAACCTTCGGGTTCTAGGGCCTAAAGACAAGGCTGGTAGTACTATGAAGTTCAGTAAATAATCGGCTTTTAGTGTACCGAATGTTGTAACCTAGTAACAACCTATCTCGCCGAAAGGTTAATGAGATTACCTCTTCCAATAGTGATTCAAAGATTCCTTGCTCACCAAGACTTAGATAGATAACTAGTCGGTCTTGAAGTAGTGAAGTTTATCCAAATTGAAGGTGCTCCTTGATCGCCTGATTCTACAACTCCAGTACTATTTATCCAAACTGAAAATATCGCTAGTTGCCTTCATATTGCTATTTATCCAAACTGAAGATGTGTTGGTGGGAAAAAGGGTAAAATAAAAATCTTAAGATATCTGAGAAGTTTCCCGTAGAGTGAGAGTTTGCGCAGGCCAGATTTGTGTGTTATTTTGAAGGGTCTTGAATGATGCATTCCTTTCTCTATTTATAGTGATAATTTCCCACATGGCCAAAGTAGAATCCCAGTTGGATTATAACACCTTGATCTCTCCTTTATCCATTATGAATAAATTTTGGCCAATCCTAGAATCTTAGAACTATGAACCCAGCCTTATTATCCTCCAGATTCAATCCTTGATCGCCAGTAGATGCTCCTTGATTTGATGCATCATCAACATTTGAAGGCTCCTCATTGTATCAAGACTCAGCCAAAGCTCTATCCAGGTTTACAATAAAATCAACTCCTAGTGGGACTTAGCCGAGCTTCTTTGGGCTAGGCTTTATTTGGGAATATCCCAAGGCATTTGGGCTTTTCTTCTGGGCCAAGCCCATGACTGCTCTCAGCTCAAAATTGTTAATTTGGGTCCAAACAACTTGCCATTTGAAAATTTTATTAAATGGGCATTGATTACTATGCTTTGAAACAAAAAAAAACATTTTTTTAAAAGCATGGTAGACCCTTCTTCTGTTTTCCTATTCTTTTTTGTTTTTTTTTTTGGTTTTTTTGTCATTGACAACAGTTCTTTCTTTTAAAAAGCACTTTTTTTTTTGTTTTTTTTTGTTTTACCAAACATATTTGATGTTCCAAATTTTTTAATAAGCTGCTTTTTTATAAAGGCATATTTGTCGATTTGCCACTCGAACTTGTATTGAGATGTCAATTCCCCCCTGAACTTTAATTTTAGCTGATTACCCCTTGAACTTTTCTAATTAGTCAATTTCCCTTTCGAACTTTAATTTTAGCCAATTACCCCTTGAACTTTTATAAATAGCTAATTCCCCTTATGCTATATTTTAAACTTTTTATCCAATTTTCCATTCATTTTGATCACGCGGACAACACATAACAACTGTGTGAGGGTAAAAGAATGAAAAATTGGATGATGATTTTTAAAATCTAACACTAAAGTTAAAGTTCAAGGGGGAATTGACTATTTGTAAAATTTTAGAGGGGTAATGGGTAATGTTAAAGTTCAGAGGGAATTGACGAATTACAAAAATTTAAAGAGATAATTAGCCAAAATTAAAGCCCACGAAGAAAATTAGTAACTCTATACAAATTTGATAGCAAACCGACAAATACCTTTTTTTTAAAAGCATTACAATCTCAAACTTGCCTATAGGCTGATAAATCAGATCCGTTACGGGTCGAACCACAACCAATAAAAAAGTAGAAATGGAATTGTGAAAGATGATAGGGTTAAATTTGTCTTTGAATGTCAGCGGCTGCTAGGGTTTTGGCATCGTATTGTACATATAGAGCAAAACTCAGAGTAAACTGCCGTCTTGCCCGTGTCGTCTCAAAGCGCCAAAATCTACATCACTGAAACCAGCGTTAGGGTTAGCGTTATCGATTCGCCATGGGAGTGTTCACCTTCGTGTTGAGGACCTCCGGGGGAGAGTGGTGCGCCAAGCAGCAGAATGGAGACCTTGAGGCCTCCGCTTCATCCACATTCGAGCTCCAGAGGAAGCTGGTCCAGTCTGCTCTCTCTTGCGACTCCTCCGGCGGTGTCCAGACCTCCTACTCTCCTGTCACTCCCACCTCAGCCGTCTTCCAGGTCTCTCTCTCTCTCTCTCCCTCCCCCTAAATCTCGTGTTGTATTATTGTTCCTAGCCTCCTATGCCTTTGATTCTAAAGTTCTGTATTTTTCTTACGGTTTTCAGTTGACATGGAAAATTCAAATCTGGGATTTGATTTGTTGTTTATTGTTTCTTGATCTCTCTGATTTTTTTGATCTTTTAATTTGTTATTTTTTTGATCTTTTAATTTGTTATATGTTTTCCCAGAAATGTAATCGATTGTTGCAAAAGTAAAATAATAATGATGATGGAATGAACTGTAGAATTATGATTGCCCAAATCATCTGCGGACGCATTCGTTACTATGCCAAATTATATGACTTGTTTTACATGTAAAATATGCTCCACAACCCTTGTGTTTGGGTTTTCGCTTCAAATTAGTCAGAATTATGTTCGCTCAATTCGTTCATGGATGCATTCGTTACTCTGCCAAACTGTATTTTTTGTTTGACATGTAAAATCTGTTCCACATCACTTGTGTTAGGGTTTTTGCTTCAAACTAGTCTGACTTGTGTTTGCTCAAATCGTCTGTGGTTGCTTTCGTTACTATGCCAAATTGTATGACTTGTTTTACGTGTAAAATATGATCCAATTGTTTGAGGCATCCATAATCATGAGTCGATGCTTGTATGCCTTTTTATTGCCCCTTAAGACCAGTTGTTTTAGACAAATGCTACAGCATCAAAGAACTTTGAAAACCAAGTGTGGGTGTTATAAATTGTTTATGCGTGCTAGTCTCTTTTTAAGTTATTGTGTTGTGGTGCTGAATTTGTATGTTGAAACTTATTTGGTTCAGGTGATCGTTGGTGGTGGTGGTGGCGGCGGCGGTGCCTTCATTGGAGGTGGTGGTGGTGGTGCTGTGGCTCCAGGAGGTGGTGCAGCGGCTGCTGCAGAGGCTCCCGCAGCTGAGGAGAAGAAGGAAGAGAAGGAGGAGAGCGATGATGACATGGGATTCTCTCTCTTTGATTAATCTAGTACCGAGTTACATATTATGTCGTAATCTTGTTCCTTTCTTCAAATTGCATGTGGTGTTGGATGTTTTTGACTTGGTTGGATGAGAGTATATGAGATCTTAAGAAATTTTTGTTAAGACAATTTGATGCACTCTTGAAGTGGTTATGTGGTTATGTTTAAAGTGGTATCCTCTGTTGGTTATGTGGTTATGTTTAAAGTGTTAACCTCTGTTTGGCTTTGTTTCTGCATTTCTCGACCGAGATTTGACATTGAAGCCTAAAACCTTCATTCGTAAGTTACGCTTGCAAAATACTAAATATGTTTGAAATTGCTAAAGCATCTCCAGAGTAGATGTTAAAAAGTCAAAATCAGTAATAACATTAACAGCTAAAAAAGACAATATTAATGTTTTCTAACTAAGATGTCAATTCTTATGTGGCATGACGTTGATTGGCAACAATGCGGTTGCTTTCAAATTTAACAACAATTCCAAATCCATCACAATTTTGACAATAAATGAAGTAATAAATAATAGTTTAAATTAACATATCGGATTGAAAACAGAACTTTAAATATGATAAAAGTGCTACATAGACTCTTAAATTTAAATTCTATGTTTAAAATTTGATCTCCTTTGAAAATGCTTGGAAGGTATATAATTTGGACAACGAAAATATAAGGCGCTTCCAAAAAGTAGAAAATTGACCATCATGTAATGTGACATCCCGTCCCGAGATTTTAAAAACGTACGTGTGAATTGACCTTTTTACCCCTAGTTCATTACATTTACGTTTAGTGTTGTTTTGTGTGGTGTTGACGAGCGTAGGGTCACACACACACTCACACACACTGTCTCTCTCTCCCGTGTTTCCCTCTCCCTCTGTCTCTTCCCTGTCTCTCTCTCTCTCTCTCTCTCTCTCCCGTGCTCCCATTTCTTCTTCCTTCTGTAAACGTACGGACAACACACAATTCACCCAAACCTTAGTAGATCGAGGGAACCAACTACACCATTGAACTCGTGAGGTTGAGAAGAGCACGATCATACCATTTTCAGCTCGTAGATGTCTTAGTGAGGTCCCAAGGAGCCTCGGAGTGCTTCGTTGGAGAAGTTTGGACGTCGGGATCACTGTGGTCGCAGTTGGCCGACTTTTGAAGTTGTGGACAGGTGATTCGTATCCCGAGGACGAGCGTGCACACTCGAGGCAGGGGGGCTACGACCCTTCCACTTACCAGTGAGTGGGCTTTTGGTTTTCCGTATATACCTATATACATTTATATTCCCAGAAATTAAATAAAAAGGGTTATTTGTTTTATGCCATGCACCATATGATTGTCGTTTATGCATCATCACATGCATTAGTAGTGGCATACATATACATATGCATAATTGGTGCTGTGGACGTACAGGTAAGTGCCAGGTAAATGTTATTCATATTTACATTCAGCAGTAGTTTGAAATACTTAGAGAGCTCATAACCTGCACCCCTGGTGTTAGTGCTCCCGCCCTGAGCAGGGCACAGTCCTTCACGTGATGTTCACCTCCCGCACCACATGCTCAGCTTGGATCCAAGCTAGGTGCACAGGCTTGTCGTACAGACCACATTAGGTGGTTCCGACTTGTAGGTGACCCGCGATCATTCGCACAGCCTTCACGTGATCGTAGCACTAGAGCGTACATATGTATTAAACCCAGGCTTGTCGTACAGACCACTTTAGGTGGTTCCGACTCGTGGGCAGGTTCCGTTGTTCAGTTATTGAGTTGAGATTTGAGCTCTATATGCAGCCGTACAGGTCACGTTAAGTGACTCCAGCTGCCAGATGTTATGTTATTGATGTGATTTATACCTGAGCACTTGCATTTCATTATGAGGCTTTGACATGGCATATCTTGAGCAGGATTGATATACCCTTGAGCATGTTTGGCATATTTATACATACGTATATATGTTTATTTTCTGGGAAGTATACAGGTTTTACAGCGAGGGGTTAGAATGTATTTTGCTAAATGGTTTTCAAAGAGCTTTGTTTTTGCCCACTCACGCCTTTGTTTTTGCGCCCCTCCAGGTTCTAGTGATCTAGCAGGTTCGGTGGTTTTCCCAGAGGGCGTCCCGGCATTTCTGACAGATACTCACCATTGTAGGGTCACCTTCGGGTGTACTATTGTCGTATCATTTTCTTTGGACTGCTGTAGACTTTATGCTCTGAACTTAGCGTTTCAATACGCTAGCACTTGTCTTAGTACTTTGTATGCTAGCTTTTAAATTATTCGTACTTTTTACATTACTGTCTTTAGCTTCCGCACGTGCACATGGCTACGTCACCTCCGCGTGACGGCCAGCACGCCCTGATCTTGGTCGGGGTGTGTCATGTAATCTAATGGTTCTATGATTTTTTTTATTTGGGTAATCATTTACAAATAATTTGAGTAATCTTTTAAAAATAATCTGAGAGAGAGAGAGAGAGAGAGAGAGAGGTTTAAATGCTGGTAACATGGCAGACAGTGGAGTTGTCAAAGGAGCAATTACAAGTGACGGCATTCTCAAATCCTTGAGTTGCGTTTGGATCAGTTTATGGAAGTTGGTCGCTGCATGGATCTGCATCTCAACTGAAATTTCAATCCGTATTCCCCAGTGCCTTTGCTATGTCAGCTAAAGCTTGCACTACAAAAATGATAAAATGGAGCATATATATATATATATATATATATACACACATATAGTCAAAATATACATATTTATGCAACTGGTACTATATATAGATAGATGTTGCACCATAGAAAAAAAAAAATTAATATGTAATCAAGAACAGTGAATCATGAATCCAAAGATGACATATTATTTTAAGTTTTTCCATTAAAACGTTTACAAAGTTATAGGATGAAACAAATTAAGTTGATTAATAAGGAAGAAGTAATTGGCATGTAAATATTAAGGTTAAATGTACTATGTACCTGCATCTTGCGGCAATCGAGCAGCTCCGAAAGCAAAGGTTGCAAAGGAAGAACATATTCATCATTATTTTCTTAAGAAACTTTCGCATCTGAAGAAGAAACTCAGATGAGTGTTTTAAAGGCACAGTAAACAGAAAGATCGGAGGGAGTAGACCTGCAAGGACTTGAACAGAAGTTAAGTTCTACTTACCTAACTTGCCCTTGAAAAAAGACAGAAAAAACAAAGAAAAACAAATTAGAGTTAATTACATAGTACACCAAAAATGTTTAATTAGGTCACTTTCAAAAAGGGACTCGACCTTTCAAAATTTTCGCATTACCACCTAAAATATTAAATAGTTAACAATTTAAGTCATTTTAGTTTTCCTCTAGAACAGGAAAAAAAAAATGTCACTCCAGTGTATTGTTAACGACTTGCCAAACGGAAATTGCAATGTTAAATTGTTCGTAAAGAAAAATAACATGCTTCGTATTGTTGACAAAGGGGGATTACATGGGGAAATATGGAAAAATAGCTAAAATTTGAATCCCATGTAGAATTATAGCCATCATTTTATGTATATGATAATTATAACAAAAAATTGATGTAAAATACTAATATACCCTTAATGACTAAAAACTTTGTCATTCCCTCCGATTTTCTCAACAACCAAATACCAAAAACAACAAAACATTAGCCAATAAAGTTTTTACTTACCTGAAAGTTTTGGGACTGAAGAGTTGGGAAACTTGCAATCTACATTTGAAACTGAAATATGCGTTTGACACTGAAAAAGCTCTAACGCCTAACAAGTTTTCGATTTGATGATTTGGGTGTCAGTGTGGGTGGGGGTAGAGAAAATCCATGGGCCAAAACCGCCATTGGAGGTCTGCTTTCTCATCTTCCTTGCGCATGGATGAAGGGTGAGCTGCGGAATGCCTGGCAGGCCATCCATTGGGCCATCGACTACCACCTCAAACGATATATGCAAACACTTTACATTTTGCAAGCGAATCGAGTTTGACCAGGATTGCTTATTTCCAATTTGACCAATCGGTTCTACATCGGCATTCATCAACGGAACGTGGTTCAATGTCATTGCTAAGTATGATGTCAGTAGCTACTAAGTACGCAAATGCATCGTCGACGATCATCTCATTCCTAATCCAAACCTAAAATTTAATTTAAAATTTGTTTTTAATATTCTAGGTCATAAAATCAACTTTTTTTGTGACATCCCACATCGCCCAGGGGGTGATCCTTACAATGTATATTCCCATCCCTACCTAGCACGAGGCCTTTTGGGAGCTCACTGGCTTCGGGTTCCATGGGAACTCCGAAGTTAAGCGAGTAGCGCGCGAGAGCATTCCCAGGATGGGTGACCCATCGAGAAGTTCTCGTGTGAGTTCCCAGAAACAAAACCGTGAGGGCGTGGTTGAGGCCCAAAGCGGACAATATCGTGCTACGGTGGTGGAGCAGGCCCGGGAAGTGGTGCCCCCCGGGCCGGGATGTGACATTTTCCAATCTTTGTATTTAAATAATTAATTAAGATTTGGTATTTACCTAAATTATTCATTCAATCCCTGCCGAAAACGACCTTACTTGAGCTTATATACTATGACTACCTTGTACTCTTGCAAGTATTTTTAAATGTTTTTATCCCTACTTTTGCAAGTGGTAAAATACCTATCAAGAAATTGATTTCTTGATAGGTAGTCGTAGTATAGCAGCTCAGGTATGGTCGTTTTATGTAGGGATTGAATGAATAATTTGTATTTAAACTAATTCTTAATTAACTATTTGAAAACAAAGTTTAGAAGAGGTCAATTTAATGACCTAAAATATTAAAAACGAATTTAGTTAAAAACAATTAAATAAATTGACAAAGTAAAGAAAACAAAGGAAAATAGTTTTGAAAACCAAATTGTAAAAGCCTAGGGTTCTGCCATCCCCTTAACAATCCTATGTGGATTTATCAATTATTTATGAACTACCCATGCAACTTTGAAGTTTAGCTTTTCCTAATGCATATTCTACTCGTGGTATTCAAGCTAGAACGTATATCAAACATGCAATCCGTCTGTGGTATTCAGGTCAAATATAAACATGCATGACTCATTATGCTTTGTGAAAACCCTTTGAAAAACCATGCAACCCTTAAGACGTGGTATTCATCCTAGGTGAAATTACAACCTATCAATCACAAGAAGCAATACTCAATTCCCCGGTGGTATTCCGACCGAATTGCATCCAATTA